AATCCCTAGCCATCAACCATATTGGGCACTGTAGTTCAATTCAGTAGGACAGCATCCAGTTGGAGGAAAATACTTTTAATTGTCTGATGTTATAAAGCCCAACTTAAAAACAAAACAGGATAATCTTGGAGAAATGGGATTAAACGGTACTCAGATATGCTATATAAATATGTCAGTTCCTATAGCTGGCTTTAAAAGAGGTTATTGCTAGAGCAGATTAATGTTAGCATTAGGATTACTAAGGACTTGGAGAATCATTTTAGTCTTTCCTTAAACATGGCTAAATGGCACTCAGTGCCAAAGGCAGTGTCACATCTATAGTTCTTTCAGAAATATAGCGCCCGCTGGTAATAGCATCTGATGTATCCCAGGCCTTTTAAGAAACAGGAAGAAATATTACATGGAAGCTATATCATTTCTTATATGGCCACACAACAGAAAGTCTACTAACCAGAGGCAATTTATTTAGGGGTAGTTTTGTACTTTCAAGCTAATCACGACCATTTTTCATCCTTCCGGTGTAAATTTCATACTTCTGTCATTAGTTTTCTCTGCAACGGCTTTCTCCTTTGAGTCCATCTTAGGCCTCATGAGACTCCATGCTCTGCATATTGTGATTCACACATGTAGGAAGGGCTGAAGTCTGGAGTAACTTCTTTCATGTATAACCTTTATATATTTTCTTTCTGCTTATTCCACTTTTTTTGTTACGTACCACAGAAAACAGGTTACACAGGGAAGGATGTGGAATAATGTCTTTTGATTGGTAAAGATCATCACGCCAGCAACTAGTGTGCGAGTAGAATGCAATTGTTAAGGAGCTCAACAACCAAGCTCACTTGGTGACTTTGTGACCATCACTCTCTCTGAGCCCTTCACTAAGAAACATCAGGAAACAGACTCTGCAAGTTTGACTGGAATTATATTTTATTGATATAGGCTATAACAATAGAATCTTGAAAACCTGAATGAATATGCTACTGCCTTCCTTTTATATGTTAGTGAATTAGGGTAGAGCCAGTCCAAACTTCTTTCTCACACTTAAAATATGTTTTTATTAAACCATCATGCCTGCAAAGTTTATCCAAGGTCATCTCCATGGCTCTCTACACCAAGCCACCTCATCAGGTTGTTGTAGTGGGGCTAAAAGTAGGAGAGAGCTCCCCCATACATTACCTTGAGCTCTCAAAAGGTAGGACCTAAATGTAAAAAATAATTTTAAAAACTGCCTCGTTAAGTGCATAAAACTAAAACAAAACATACTCCTCTCTTTATTCGACTCTTCTTCCTCCCTCTATGCCTTCCCTCTATTGAAACTGAGACTGCAGTTTGGAGCAGGGATTTCTCCTTTTTAGTCTATAAATTGCAAATATTAAGCAAAGTTCTATTTGTGTGACTTTTACTGGAAGTAGAACTGTTGAGATTTTCAGTGTTGCAATTTTGCGTTTTTATGTTTGGCCTTTATTCTTATGATGTTTGACTAAAGAGGCTTGCGTCTGGAAATATAGCTGCAATCTTTAATTATCCAAGTGTGCATGGCCCTAAAAGTCATGTCAGCATACAATAGACTGCAAGGGCACTAAATTATATAAATTACCACTTTGGTGGCACAGCTAAAAAAAAAATTCTTTAACCTATAGTGCTTATTATCTCTGGGATTATCAAAAGTTTGATATTTATGGCAATATTTACAAATGATTTATGAATGTTGCCCTATAATAGGTCTATTCCTTTCAAGAGGTTTATTGTCCTTTTCTTTAGCATCATAAAGTCTGGCAGTCACTCTGGATACATGCTTTAAAATCTGGATGTTTTAACTGACAGTATTCTGAGAACGAGTTATTTGCAACATTGCATTTTAACAGTCAACACTGAATTGTGATTGCAATTATATTAGTTGTTTGTTTTGTTTTAGACTGTAGTGAGGAGTGAATATTTGAGGCCACTGAGGAGGCATTTAAAATGCTTCTCACCTACCCAGTGCCAAAGTTTCTTTGAGATATTTCAGAACATTCATCACCTTCACATTATATTCTACTACCATCCTCAGATAAGAGGACAGAACTCATAGCAGAAGATATTTCATTCCAGACTGTTGCAAGCAATTTAGCTCTTAGGATTTTGGGGACTGTATTTCATTTAAACATTGTATGTGCACTTATTTTTTGTAATAGTACTTATTCATTAATATTTTTCTACAGTTTTTAAATTGTTTATGTTTACATTGCACATACCTAGTGATCAGACACTTTATTTAAATTCTGTTAAATAACTCTCTGGATCTGGCTGGATTCACCTGACAATAAAAACAAGATCTAGCAAAAGTTTTTGTCACTTTTAGTCTGGTAGATGTTGCTAAAAGTCCTCCTGGCAACCTTTTACTTTCTAATCATTTATGGATTGTGTCTTCTCTTTGGTAACCATTTATGCTAATGACTAAGAGGGGGCAGAACATTTGCAAAATAAAATTATAAATAATTAAGTCTGAATGCCCTCTGCCAATTAACACACATTATTCAAGTCATGGCTGTTTAAGGCTACACAAATAAATCATTAGCTTAATGATTTGCAATATTCTAATCTCTACCCATATATTTTACTCTATTTTAATTATTATAAACACACACAATTTTTCACCATATTAAACAATGTCTCATAGAAGCAGTAAAATTATCATTAACCTGATTAGTCTCATAATTTGGTAATTAAATGCATTCATTCTTTTTTGTCATCATTATTGACATTCTAAAAACAAGTTCTGTATAAAATAGGACACACTGGTTCCTGGTATTTTGAAACAATACAATTACACTGCACTGAACTGGTGGAAGTTTTCTTATAATGTTTATATGTATTAATGTTATTTTTGTTTGTTTCTGTAAATAAAATGTTCCATCCCTTGATATCATAAGCTTGAAGTCATTGGTTTTATTTGAACCTACGGACAGAATCTAAAGAATACTTTTAATTTAAAGAACAACTGTCTTCTGCTTTGAAAGGATTCAAGAAGCATAACTTCAGTGCTGAAAGGAAGAGTTCCCATAATTCATGAAAATATGCTGACCCCCAACAGGAATGAAACCAGCAAGGTCTGCTGAGATACAAGCAGGAGGAATCAGGTTTTCAGTATAGATTAAGAAACTGTAGTTAGCTCCCCAAGTCATAAACACGCAAAGGCAATGGCCCCAAATTAAGTAACTCCCACTGCACATTCCTTATTCAAAAAATGTTACTGTCAGTTGGAAAGACTATGAATGGATGGATGAGGCTGAGGAATTTCTCAGTGTGAATTCTGAACGGGGAATACACTTTACTGAGTTCTACTTCCTCAACGAAAAGCAGAGCTTGCAACTTTGGAAAGCATTACAGCAGTGTTGTCCAAACTTGGCCACGTTAAGATGAGTGGACTTCAACTCCCAGAA